ATATATATACATATATATATATATATATATATATATATATATATATATATATATATATATATATATATATATATATTAGTTATTACAATTTACCTCCCAAATGAATTAATATATGTAAAAAAATAATATATATATGAAATGTTTATTATATATTTCAGAAGGCTCAGTGGAGAGAGTTTAGGTTCTTGTTCTAAGGACGAGCTCGAAAAAATCGAACAAGAGATCAAACTAAGTTTAGCGACCGTTAAGGCCAGGAAGGTACGTATATACGCTACATATCAACATTTGTCATGTCCTATAATCGAAATTAATGTATTGATCACGTATTATATCAAGCATTTATATAATTATCGAATGACGAGTCGTAATTTTATTATTTTTTTTCTACCAGAATAAATTAATTCAGGAGAAGATTAATCAGCTGAAGCTACAGGTATAAAATCTTGTACACTAATTGTCAATTGTCAAGAACTAAAATCTCGTACATTGTTCGATCGATTCTGAACCTTCGATTTCGATGATGTAGGAGAAGAATTTGACGAATGAAAACGCGGAACTAATAAAAACGGTTGGTGTATACATACATACACCCATTTAGGGTAAATTACACCTACGCCCCTGAGATTTGCTAAAATAACTTTAAGGTCTATGTATTATCGATAATTACAACCACCCCTGAAGCATTGTTAGAAACTCTAACTGGAAAATGCATTTGATGCGTTATATCTGATAGATTTCTAACGGACTATTAGTTTCAGGAAGTGGTGGAAACAAAATAGAGCTAGGGTGATTTAAGAAATGTTGGGGGAGCCATGTCACCTTCTAACTCTACGTTTTCTCCACCACTTTCTTAAACTAATAGTCCATTAGAACTCTATCGGAATAACGTATCTAATGCATATAGATTGTAGCGATGTTTCAGGGGGTGATTGTAACGACACTACATGGACCTTAAAGTTATTTTAACATACCTCAGGGGGTGTAGGTGTTATTTAATTACCCATATATATTGTGAATAAAATTATTATTTATTGTTATAAATATTGAATTGGTTTATGTAGCGTGAGATGGTGAAGAATCTGAAATTGTCTAATCCTCCAAAAGTTGAACCAGAAGCAGCTATGGAGGGGGAAGAAACCCCCATGTTTCATCTGTGAGTACTATATATATATGTGGAGAGAGAGAGAGAGAGAGTGTTCTATTCTTAATATATATGCAATATTAATAATATCTCTCTCAATAGTGATGTAATAATAATGGTGTGCCACGTCATTACTTAATTATTAAGACGAAGTTGAGGAGTTGATCTCTCAACCAGGTATGAACTCATCATGTGAAGACAGATATTATATATATATTTATATATACTTTGTTGTTTCTGTGTATATTGTGTATGTATATTGCATCTGATAATTTACTGTAGTTTGTTTGTGTGTATATTGTGTGTGTATATTGCATGCTAGGCTAACTGTATTATGTTATACATGGAGTTAAAGTTGTGGGCTTGTGGCTGAAATAATTAATGAAACCTAGCCAAGTTTCTTTTCGGGACGTGTTAGATGTCGTTTCAGTTTTTGATAATACCGGTTTGACTTAAACCGTGATTTTGATTATTTTTTAAGTTGAATTTGGCAAAATGCATACAAAGTATGGAATTTGTAATTGTTTTAGAGGGTGTTTGGTTAAGTTTATTTTAAACAGCTGAGAAGCTCTTACGTCTGATAAGATGTTTAATAAGCTGTTACATCTTATTTTTAGGATTAATTTTTAGAGTGTTTGGATAATGAGCTTATGTCCTGTTTTTTACTCATTATAAGATCTTAAATAAAAAGGTGGGGTATAAGTATTTTTAAAAAAAATCTTATTTGCTTTGCAACAGCTTATTTAAATTTTTTTATTTTTTTTTAAATTATCAAACATTTTGGAAGAGTTTATAGCTCTAAAACATCTTATAAGTTTAGCTAAACAACAATATTCAAAATATATGAAAAAATCAATGATTATTGTTGTGATATTTTGGAATTATATTTAAAAAGGAGAATGGCAAAAAAGGTCCATCACATGGGGACCTTA